TATATAGTATATAGAGATATGTTGGACAATATGTTTTGCAATCATGTATATACTAGTATATAGAGATATGTTGGACAATATGTTTTGTAATCATGTATACAATAGTATACAGAAATATGTTGGACAATATGTTTTGTAATCATGTATACACTATTATATAAAGATATGTTGGACAATATATTTTGTAATCATGTATACACTATTATATAGAGATATGTTGGACAATATGTTTTGTAATCATGTATACACTAGTATATATAAGTTATGTTGGACAATATGTTTTGTAATCATGTATACACTAGTATATAGAGATATGTTGGACAATATGTTTTGTAATCTTGTATACACTAGTATATAGAGATATGTTGGACAATATGTTTTGTAATCATGTATATATAGTATATAGAGATATGTTGGATAATATGTTTTGTAATCATGTATGCACTAGTATATAGAGAAATGTTGGACAATATGTTTTGTAATCATGTATACACTAGTATATAAACAATATGTTTTGTAATCATGTATACACTAGAGTATATCTAGAGATATGTTGGACAATATGTTTTGTAATCATGTATACACTAGTATATAGAGATATGTTGGACAATATGTTTTGTAATCATGTTTTCACTACTATATAGAGATATGTTCGACAATATGTTTTGTAATCATGTATACATAGTATATAGAGATATGTTGGACAATATGTTTTGTAATCTTGAATACACTAGTATATAGAGATATGTGGGACAATATGTTTTGTAATCATACATACACTAGTATATAGAGATATGTTGGACAATATGTTTTGTAATCATGTATATATAGTATATAGAGATATGTTGGACAATATGTTTTGTAATCATGTATACAGTAGTATAATTAAGTTATGATGGAGAATATGTTTTGTAATCATGTATAAACTAGTATGTATAAGTTATGTTGGACAAAATGTTTTGTAATCATGTATACACTAGAGTATATTGAAGTTATGTTGGACAATATGTTTGTAATCTTGAATATATAGTATATACAGATATGTTGGACAATATGTTTTGCAATCATGTTTTCACTAGTATATAGATATATGTTCGACAATATTTTTTTGTAATCATACACTAGTATATAGAGATATGTTGGACAATATGTTTGTAATCATGTATATAAAGTTTATATCGATATGTTGGACAAAATGTTTTGTAATCATGTATACACTAGTATATAGAGATATGATGGACAAAATTTTGTGTAATCATGTATATATAGTATATAGAGATATGTTGGACAATATGTTTTGTAATCATGTATATACTAGTATATAGAGATATGTTCGAAAATATGTTTTGTAATCTTGTGTACACTAGTATATAGATATATGTGGGACAATATTTTTTGTAATCATGTATACACTAGTTTATAGAGATATGGTGGACAATATATTTTGCAATCATGTTTATATAGTATATAGGCTTAATTACGAAGGATGATACTGTAAAGATAACTTGAAACTTGTTAAATATAACGTTCCGAAGTTTAAATTAATTTCTCTGCCCAGAGTCTGGACTTCAAGTGACTTATTTAATAATTTGGCAAAAAAGAATTTTGAAATTGCATAGAATCAAGAATATAACAGACAGTATTTTTCCTTGCATCTGTCTCTCAAATCTTATCCCTTGTGGGTAATCCTGTTGATTTATTAGAATGAGCCCCATTTAACTATGGAATAGGAAGCCGACATTTAATCATTAATCAATCCTTTAGGAATTTTTGGTTTTAACAGGGAAATATTTTTATTAGTGGATTAAACATCAGCTTAATAATGAGGAATGAAAATGTGTACACTGTTCTATGTTTCGTGTTCAATGTTCATGGATCTTATGAATCTCAATGTAGAATTCTACTTATAATAGTAAATATGTTTTCTACCTTTGTGCAACGTTGACACTATTAAATATTTTCTTTAGATTTCGATTTGAATCTGATCAACTACAATACGTCATCCAAACTAATTATGAACGCCTTCATTAATCTCATTTAGAAGACGACAGTTCTCTCTAAGAAAAGGTATGTACTTTGCTGTTTGAACTACTGTCATGTGAATTACTGATTTTAACAACTCGTTTTCTTTTCTAAATATAAGTTTAAAAAAGAAGTTTTAAGGTAAATTCAGTTTTTATTTGATTATTTTTTTTCACCCAGAAATTAAATGACTCGAATACATAAATGATAATGCTAACAATAGTACTAAAAATGTTTTCCTTAAAATACATGAAATGACATTAGTCCTAGTATGAAAATGAACAATTTGTTCCAATAAAAAGTCATTTTTTTGAGAGACCCTGATTGAAAAAAATCATATTTTGAAGAGAAAGACATTGATAATGTGATTAGATATTTCATATTTATTGGGTGCACCCGGTGCACCGTATGGGATTGACACTATAAATGTTTTTAAATGTATTAAAAAAATCTTACATCGTTCTGATATCACCAGAAGTGATGTACAGAAGAGAAGAGCAAAGCCCACCGCACCAAACTAATTATGCCAAATAATATAATAAATAGTAGATTGTAGATTAGAAGGTTTAATTTTTAGAGAAAGAGAGTTGCCTCTTATCTCTTAGCAAAGTTGACTAATATTGTTTTTAAACATTAATTGCCATTCCTTGTTAGCCATTCCTCTTATTCCAAATAAAAACATTTTATCTGAAAAAACTTTTTGAAATATTTGAAAACCATGGATAAATTTGAATACTAAAGGCTAAAATTATTTGAAGTAGGATACGAAATATCAAAATGCCAAAGTTAAACTGTGTGTCTTGAATTTTCTATTTGCAAGGATATGAGATCGGTCTATATATTGATTATAAAATATCTATAAAATATCATTTGTGTGTATAAGTCAATTCCTTGAAAGAAGGATACAAAATATCAAAATGCCAAAAATAAACTGTGTGTCTTAAATTTTCTATTTGCAAGGATATGAGATCGGTCTATATAATAATTTTAGAAATATGTATAAAATATCATGTGTGTGTATACTTCAATGCCTTGAAAGAAGGATAAAAGTAAGTAAAGTAAAGTAAAAAATTATTTATTTATGAAATATAACAAAAACATACAAAATAAAGTGTTTCAGAAGAAAATATTTAAAAAACTCTAAAAGTATAGGTTGTGGGAATATTTACCCCCAATTCTAAAAAAAATATAAAAATCGTAAGAAAAGGAAAAGGAAAGGAAAGGATAAGGAAAGTTACATATTTATTGTTTACACTATAATTAATAGGAATTAGTGGTGGATTGTTAGTATTTTTTGACGATGAACTAACAACTTTTAGAAATTAAAATTATAGATTTATTAATGTTAAAAATAAGTAAAAAAAGCTTTATGGAGTGTGAAAGTTATATAGGTTCTATGAAAAACGGGCATTTTTAGGCATCTTTTTAATTTGCGTTGATTTTTGACATCCTTTAAGTATGATTATATCTTTTACTCTTTTAAATCTTTTTATTTTTTTCTTTGTAAAGTCGTCTTTGGTTTCTTCGATTCTTTTGCAAACATAGCATGTTTTAGAATTAAAACATTTGTTCTGCTGATAAAATTCTGTTAAAATTTGAAATAAGATTGATATTTGAAAGCTTAGAAAAGTGTTGTTTATTTTTATACCATATTTTAGGGAAACTGTGAGAGGGGAGCAGTCCAATTTTAATAGATTTTATTCTAGGAATATAAAAATCATTTTTGTTTCTAAGATTTGCGTTTTTGACATTTTTTGATAGCATACAATCTTTGTTAAATGTTGGGATACAAAATATCAAAATGCCAAAGTTAAACTGTTTGTCTTGAATTTTCTATTTGCAAGGATATGAGATCGGTCTATATATTAACTGTAAATATATCTATAAAATATCATGTGTATGTATACGTCAATGCCTTGAAGAAGGATACAAAATATCAAAATGCCAAAGTTAAACTGTGTGTCTTGAATTTTTTTTATTTTTTTCTAGAGATAATGAAGGCTTCCGACATCCAAGGACTGTATGGTTAACTCTTATTTGTAGAAATTATTTTCTTTTCAGGAAATACAGACTTAAAACAGTTATCTATAGTTTTAACCAGGGGGTAGTGCAGAAGTCCACAATGGGCAATCACCGCCACCCAAACATATTTTGAGTCAAAATAAGTATAACATTAAAGCATTTATTTCTTAGCCATAAGACCATATTGACCTCTGTTACTGGCCTTATGGTGTACAATATTAAAGCTTTCTTTATTGCTCTTTGGTTTCGAAAATAAATCTATAAATATGTCAAACCATGTTCTTGAAACTTTGCGCCTGTGTGCTACTCAATAAGCAATGAAGCGANCTATGCATTAGTTTTGTTGAACTCAAGTAGACGAGTACAAAAATCTAAACACTGTAAAGGTTTTTTGAAAAAAACTTTTAAATGGAGATAGATATTACTTTGATCACGGTGAGATAATTTTTAGTAACAGGCAACCCGACCGAACTATCTCAACTCCAATCATGAAATGCAGTCATTAAATCAACCAATTGGATCTAAGATCTAACAATATTGTACACCATAGGGCCATTAACAGAGATCAATATGGTCTTGTTTCTAAGATATAAACCGTTTCATGTTAACTTTTTTATTGCAAATTACCATTTGAGGAGCGGGCATGGCGTTTGTTACTTCTGCACTCCCCCCCTTGTGCAACTTGGTTGACACTGTCGGACTTTAGGCTGCATCTGGTTTAATTTACAATCACTAAAGCTGCAAAGGAAATAAGTTTTTGCCACAAACTCAAATGTCTAATCCCTATATCTTTTAAACCCGACGTCGGAGAACTTTGATACTTCAAACTATAAATTATGTTATATAAAATTCTAAATTTGTAATGTTGAAGGTTTACATCATCAGGTTATTGCAAAGATAGAGGGATTAGAAAATCTAAGTTTGTGGTAAAGACTCAATTCCTTAGCGTGTATTACTTTGAATGTATTTGAAGAGGAACAAGTGAAGTACAGTACACCAAATATTAAGACCACAGGAGCACTAAAATAGATAATCATAGGTAGAAACTAAATCTAGAAAAGCTTTTTGAAAATAAGTTTTTCGAAATAAAGTATTAGAATTCAGCACTTAAAAAGTCCAAGGAAAATAGAAACACTTGAGGATGAGGCTCAAAAAACTTCAAGTTAAAAAGAATTGCCCCGCCCCCTAAATAAAAAATATTCCATAAGTACTTTAATCATTTGCTCAGAGCCGCATAGTGGAGGGGGGAGGGGGGCCGGTACCCCCTGTGCCCCCCTAGACATGCACCACCCTAGGCCCCTAGAGCCAGAGGCAGGCTCTAATTTATTATGATTATGATTATTTCTCAAATTCTTTCTTGTAACCTTAATCTTATTTACAATAATTTTTTTGGGTGGTTTCATTTAAAAAGATTGGTAATAGGGCCAGAAGACTAATAGTCAGCCTTGAGATAGATTAATATAGATTGTAAACTTTATTTTATCTTAATACCGGTATTTTAGGGGGGTGCACATCAACCCTTAGAGGGGTGCACAAAAAAGTGCACTCCCCTTGGCTTAACCTCCACTACGCGCCTGTTTGCTCAAAAAGAATCTAAATTCTTTGTTTCTTTCTTTGTTTCTGTTCTATAGATTTTATCAAAGAAGTGAACAATTGTTTCCTTGACTTGTGACTTTTATTCAAAAATATAAAGTCATCAAAATATAAAATAAGTAATTAATCCAAACCTGAGGGCTCTTAAATCAAAAATTCTTCGCATTTTTTTACTTTTCTAAAAACAAATTAAAATAATGTATTTTATTAACCTATCATAGATTAGGGGTTTATTCTGCTTCACATTGTATTATAATAACCTTTTATACAAGGGGTTAAAATGTTCACCCTGTCCTACAATAAACCTCTCATACATTGGATATTCAAACTCACTCTGTATTCTAGTAAACCTTTTATACAAGAGTTCTCTAGCTCACCCTGTATTCTAGTAAACCTTTTATACAAGGGTTCTCTAGCTCACCCTGTATTCTAGTAAACCTTTTATACAAAGGTTCTCTATATTACCCCGTATTCTAGTAAACCTGTAATACAAGGGTTCTCTAGCTCACCCTGTATTCTAGTAAACCTTTATTACAAGGGTTCTCTAGCTCACCTTGTATTTTAGTAAACCTTTTATACAAAGGTTCTCCATATTACCCCGTATTCTAGTAAACCTTTTATACGAGGGATTTAGAAAACCAGTGACTCAATTCCTTCTTTGCCATAAGTCATTTTGAAAGAAAGACGAAAAAGTAAAATATTATTTTTGTTTTGAAAGGGAAGTAGAAAGACATCTTTTAAAAACATGTTTTAAAAATAATTGAAAGCCCCATCCCTAGCTTTAAATAAGTGCTGAATATAATTGGTCTGTATTTGAAGAAGAAAATATAATTGTGAAACGGAATTCAAGCTGTTCTTCAAGATATCCCTGATAGATAAAGATTATTTTCACCTGTATGGTATTAAACTACTAACAGATTTCTTCTTTCTTCATAAGTTAAGTGAAGTGGAAAAACATAAAAATTCTTTTGTGAAATTTATTTTTTTCTCGAACGATTTATTACATTTAAGATATCCTTGGTAAGATAAGATATTAGCTATACTACCAAATTAGAAAAGTTAAGTAAAGTAAAAAAAGATTGAATTTTTTTTTCTTTTAATTTATTTCACTTCTCAACATTTAAAAACAAATTGGATAACTTTTTGGTTAACTTGTTGACAAATGTTGGAGCATAATAAATTTTCTGTAATCTTGTTTTTATTAAAGGAATTGAGTTTTTGCCACAAATCCCAATTTTCCAATATCTAAATCTCAACAACCAGATCATGCATACCTTTCATATTTCAAACTTACATTGTTTGATCCACCAGAATTCATAGCTTGAAATATCTACGGTCTACGACATTTGGTTTTAAAGAAATTGTAATTTAAAAATCCGAGTTTGTAGCAAAGACTCAATTCCTGTAGGCTAGTTTACAATCCAGAAGTTAATATCCAAAAGATGAAAACCTTATTATTTCATATTTTCAGTTTCCAAGCATAAAATAAATTATCCAATTTGCGTTCTAAAAAGAAATTAAAATAAAATATAGAAAATTACATTTGACAAATGTTGGAGCATAACATATTTTCTATAATCTTGTTTTTATTATATTTAGGCTAGTTCTAAACGTTTATAAACCCAAAAGTTATGTAAGATGAAAAGCTGTCAATACATACTCATAATTAATGTTTTACACATTGAGTCATCATAAAACCCAATAAGTTTCTGAATTATTAAGATAAAGTAAAAGGGGTAAAGTCTAAAGCCTATAGAAATATATAGGTTAATTGTGGTCAAAATTATTTTATCTGATGTCCCTGCACTTGACAAATTAAGATATATTTTGTTCGAGCAATTCAAAACTCAACCAGTGCAGTGGTAATAATGGAGAAATATGATTTAAGTTGTTTTTTGTGTTTTTTCTTATTTTCAAAAGTTCTTTAAAATTTTCAAATAATTTTGATTTTTTTCTGCATGGTCGCAGACTTGAACCACATTGAAAAAAATTTAAACCAAATGATTCAAGTCTGTTTTTTTGCGACTTTTTTATTTAAAAACTTCTTGAAAAATTTATATAAATTTTGATTTATTTTTGTGTTGGGCAGAGAATCCACTGGAAAAAAATTGCCACAAACTCTTATTTTCCATCACCTTTATCTTTGCAATTAACCCAAAGTTTGAAATATAAAAGGTTTGCTAAGTCAGGCAGAAAAGAGAGACAATCTTAAACATTTTATGTACAGTATTAAAAATTTTTTTTACCCTTTACTTTTAACCTTTTATTTTACTCTTTCTCAAGACTTTTAGATTATCTTTTAATCTTAAATATTCCTTTTCAATTCTATACACTTTTCTTATCCATTATTCCAAACCTACCCTTATTCTTTACTTTAAACCATTCTTCATACCTAACTTTAAACCTTTTCTCAGCTTTACTTTTATAATTTCCTTTCAAATTTTATATTCCTAATCTTTTTTTCATACTATACTCAAAACCTTTTTAATAATCATTTTTTCTAAATCTTACCTAATCATTTACGTAAAACCTCTTTTGTATCCGTTTCTCTCATGCTTTAGAAGTGTTTACAAAACATTGCTTTAAAAATATGCAAACATGGAAATAACCAAAATACACTGTGGGCGAGGGGGGTAGTGAAGTTGAATATTTTCTCCATTGTTTTAAGCCAATAAATCAAAATTATTTAAGATTTTAAGAATTTTTAAAAAGAGAAAAAAAGCGAACAAATTTTGCCAACTTTTTTTAATTGCTGCATAGGGAAGGGTTAAGGACAGTCAAGTGCCAGCTGGGTGTTTGAAAAAATCAAAAATGTTTAAAAATATTTAAAATTAATTAAGGTGCTGGACTAAAATTTATATATTTGAAAAGCCCTAGAAAAATGGATGTGTGACATGTTAATATTTGTCAAAAATTAACCTTTTTTAAACATTATTTTTTTTTACAAATCCTCTCTTGCACCCTAACAATTAAAGTAGAGGTCTAATTTTTTTGAATGAGCAGGCCTTGGAAAGTTGGAAAAGACACATGTATCACACTCCTCTATCTCAACTCTAAGGACAAAATCATATCAGGGGGGTTGGAAAACATTCCCCCCCCCTAATCCATAATTGACAAAAAAAGCCCAATCGGTATAGGGCTAAAACTTTAAATGTTACGTAACCCACTAATCCCCCAATGCGACATTAATGTTGTCTAAAAAAATATTTAAAAAAAAATTTTTTTTGACAAACTAAATCATGTCAAATCTCAATATTGTTTTCGCAAGTGTAAAGTAAAGAGAACCTGAAGGAGACCTTAAGGAGAATCTGACTTTGATAATCAAAAAAATGTGTACCATTTGTTGGGGACACCTATTTGAAAATAGACATGTGAAAAAATTAGAGTTTAAAAGTCGGTAAATATCACTAGGATAAAGAAAATTCTTTTTTTTGGGAATAAAATATTTTGACAATGTCTTTTAAAACAAGTTTGCACAAAAAAGTAGAAATATTTCTACTTCCCCTCCCCCCCCCCTCCTATGATTTTGCCCTTAGAGTAGATAGGATAGTGTAGTCAAACTTTTTAAAAAAATGTAGTGAATTATTAAATTACTTTTACGCTTATTTTATCCATATTTTTAATACAAAATGTTTTGCTTAATTATTTGATTAAAACAGGCAATTCCCCTTACTGTAGTGTGTGTCCTATATGAGTGCTGTAACTGGTGTGCTAATATTATAGAGAAATACAATTGATAAAATAAAGCTGTTCTTCAAGATATCCAAGATAGATAAAGATTATATTCACCTGTATGGTATTAACATTATAATATAACTCGTCTTTATACAACAATTTACTGAAGTGGAAAAGGCTTGGATTTTTAATCTTTATAATGATTTAAAAGTTAAATGTCAAATTTAAAACATTTACCAATATTAAAAATAATTAAATAAAATGATTTTAAAATAGAATAAAATAGTTTTTTGCTCTGAAATGGAGATTCTGAGATTCTTTTTTATCTAGAACTGTATCAGTGTAAAAGCGTGAATATGACAATATTGATAATATTATTACATATGAAAGAAAAATGAATCAATGCAACTACTCATTTGATTGAATATTCAACGAGTCGGTTTTTCTTACAATTTATTATAATTTACAATGATACAAAACTATAGGAGAATACTATACGAATCAAGTTGCATGAATAGAGTATGAATCAGAGTGATGAGAGATCTCCAGGGGAACCTATTAA